ACCTGTCAGTCACTGATTTGTAATCTTGGGTCACTCAGTGTCTGAATACTTGAGCTTACTCATCAGTGAAATTAAGCTAATAATGCCTATTTTATTAGAGAACATATATTCCTAACATGTAATTCATAGATGGTCTTCCTTAAAGCTATATGTGTAGTTCTGTGTTTCTGGGTCCCTTACCTTTTTTGTTTTTTTATTATTCTTAAACCTCCTCCTCTCAAATTAAGCATCTCTGCCTTAGCCCTGACCGGTATGGCTCAGTTGATTGAGCCGTGCCCTGAGTGCTCCGGAAGGTCACCGGTTCAATTCCTTGTCAGGGCACCTGCTCAGGTTGAGGGTTTAGTCCAGGTCTGGGTATGAACGTTAGGAAGTTAGGTAACCAATCAATGTTTCTCTCACATTGATGTTTCTCTCTCTCTCTCTCTCTCCCTCTCTCTCTCTCTCTCTCCCTCTCCCTCCCTCTCCCTCTCCCTCTATCAAATAAAAAAAATATCTCTGCCTTAAAAGTTATTATGAGTTTGATAAAAGATAATAAATACAAAATATTCAATAATGTGAAAGACAGCATTGTTTCAGGTAGATTATAATCACTCCCTCCATTTAATTCACATGTCAACTCTTCTGGAGCTCCCAGAGGGACACATCTTCTGGTTTTGCAGGACCTCCTTCCCTCCCTCCATCCTCCCATCTCCTCCTTCTTTCCAGTTGCAGAAGATCTGGAATAGAAACCTGAGTATAATTTTCTGGGCTCAAATAGGATCAAACCTTTAGCTCAATTCTAAGTTCACTTTACCTGATTGTGGAATGTTTCTAACTTCTATGCTTTAAATGTTTTTAGCATTTAAAACTGACTTTAACGTCTTTGATTTCAATGATATTCTTGTTGCTTTTGCCTTAGTGGTATTTCATTCCCACTTCTGTATTTATAGAAAAAAGACTAAATTTTTTTTTTATCAGTAAGACCACTTATTCAATCATTTGACACTTTCTATCTGAATTTACTAAATGTTCTTTTAAATATGAGCTTATCTTTTGTAACTCTGTGACAGAAAGCAGAAAATAAATAAGTCTCTTGCATTCTAAACCAGCTATAGTTCTTAGTAGTTTTTTTTTTTTTTTTTTTTTTTTTTAGTTAACCTATTTCTATGTAACAAACCATCTGACAACTTATTGGATTAACACAACTCTTCTTTTATTTGCTCATGAGTCTGTGAGTTGGGTGGGGCTCACCTGGGTGGCTCTCCTGCTGTTCTCTCTGCTTATCTAGAGTGGTTGCAGCAAGATGGTGGCTGGGGCTGGGATATCCAAGATCGCTTCACTCATACGCCCATCACCTTGATGGGGTGTCAGCTGACAGTTTTGATCTCTCTTTCTACCTGGCTTGCTTGGTCCTCCATATATGGCAGCCGAATATCAACAGGTGTTCGGAAAGTCCAATATGCAAGTGCTTATCAGGCTTCTGCTAGCCCCATGCCTGCGAACATCCCATGGGTTCAGCCCAGAACTGGTGTGGGAGGGCATGACACAGGTTGTGACTACCAGAAGGCACGTTCACCGGGACCACTAAAATAATATGCCACACTGGCATATAGGAATACACAAATATTTTCATTGAATGAGTGATTTAATATTTAATGCAGAACAGTTCACAATGCTTCACTGATGTAACTACTTTTTAAGGTTAATTTGCATTCAAATGATCCCCTTACTGTTTTTGTAATCTTCATTTACTTATTTACATATTTATTTATTTTGATAATTCACTTCATCTCCCCAATCTGTACACACTCAAACATGATTGAAAATTAGTTTTAAACTTGGAAGAACAGAAATTTCCTGTAATTCAGGCTTTCTTAACTTTTGTTTTGATAAGGTATACTGATTATTTTTGCAAGTATCTATATAAGTATTACCTAAATTGTGAACCATAAGAATTCTTCCCTTCCCTTGTAGCCTCCCTGAGTGTATGACACTGGAGAAAATAAGATTCATCCTTGCCCTAAGGAAGATCAGGCTCAGAAATATAAATTAAACCACGGATGAATTGAAAGAAACTTGAGACCATTTAAGAGGATGTGATTTTGTTTTGCAAATTGTAGTCATCTACAACTCCCCATTAATAAATTTAAGAATTAGCATACTATTAATGAATTGCTACAGAAGGAGAAAGGACGGTAAGAGGTAAAAAGGAATTTTAAAATTTTTCCTTTTTTTTCAGTTTAGATTTTATAAAGTCCTAGGAGTTGCTATCATTTGAGGACAATTAGAAACAAAAATGAAAACAAAGCGTCATCAAGAAAAACATTCGATGTGGCACATGCATGTGGAAGCCAGGCTTTTACAGATTGGTGACTATCAGGTCATTTTCAAGGCATGTAATAGCCTTTCTCTTGACATATTTAAGGAACATTTTAATTTATGACAAAGATCTGATAGATGATTACAGGTACAGAACCAAAAATTGCACTTAGGTGTAGCCTTCTGATTATACTTAGTGCGGTACCTCTCAGATTTGAACGTGCAGGCAGATCCTGGGGATCTTACTAGAGTGGTTGCAGCAAGGTTCTGAGTCAGTGGCTCTGGGATGGTGCTTAGGGCTCTTCATTTGTGACAAGCTCCTGGTGCGGTGATGCTGGTCTCCAACCAGCTCTAGGAAACTGAACCCTTCCATGGTCTCCATCCTCACTAAGCCTCTGCGGTAAACCTGCTTAATTCCCGCACAGCTTGGTACGTGGATTTTCACTTCTGTCATTGACCGTCAGCAGGACAAATAGAAATCCTTCTGGCATCTTTTCACATATGTTCAAGCCATGTATTTCACAACTAGGAAATACATTAATTTACACCGTTTCCTTTGGTATATGGCATAAAGTCATTTGTGTAAATCTGGCCTCTGCTAGTGGTTCTGTGAGAGGGGACAAGGGTCTCAAGGTCTGGCCCATTCTTATAAACGCTATTCTTGATAAATACTAACCTGTAGCACAGTAGCACAATATTTTGGAGGCCAGCTGCAAACAGGCCGAGATCGACGGGAGCCCAGCCTGGTGAGTGAGCCAGCTGCGAAGAAGAAATCGGCATGTAATGAGCCAGAGCGTGTGCACCAGCAATGGCTGAGCCTCCCTGCGGGGAGAAAGAGCTTAGAGAGGAGTCCTCCTCTCCTTCACTTGCTGCAAGTGAATGAGACTACTTCGCGGCAACCATGTCTCATTTTTCAGTAGAACATCTTGAATTCACTAACAGTATAACTTGAAAACCAAAGAGTTACTTGGTTTACGTCAAATTCATTAATCCATCAGAGATGTCTTATCAAACCCCTCATATCTGGCTGTCGACCAGGACTTCTGCTTATATCAGATCCTCCTTCAAAGCCCAGGTACACGGAGGGCCAGACGCTCTGTTCTTCCAGCTGTTCGCCACGTTGGGAGCTGCGTGTCTCTACCAACGTAACTGCCTGGCTGCCCGCGCCACCCCCAGGACCTGATCGGAACCAGGGAAACTTTCTTAATTTACTCTGGTGCATTCATTTCTCCAGGCCTCTGTTTCTCATTCTGGGTTTAAACATACCTCTAGAAACCCGACCTGCATTGCTTTTTATGCAGGTTTTTCACAGTATATTCTTTCTTCCAGTCTCCCTTTGCAGAGGGAAGCATAGTAAGTGCAGCCCCGTAGATCCAGGCCATTCTGGCAGCCCTACCAAAAAAAATTGTTTTTCAGTGAGACAGTATATTTGATTGGAAAATTAGGTGCTAATCTCCACCTAAGAAGACAGAGCCTGTGGAGCCCCGTGGAGCGGGGTCCGGCCCAGAGCCTACAGTGAGTGAGTGGCACCATCTGCATGTGAACTCAGATTAGCTGGCTCTTTGTAACCAAACCCTGGAAATGTGGTTGCTGAGCTCTCACATGGCCAACGACGGTTCCACCTTGAGGATGTTTCTTCCGTGCGTTTCCCTTACCTGGAAAAATCAGCGTGGAGTTGTTGCATTCCACCTCCCAGGTCACAAATCTGTGCTTCTGCGCAACTGCTGTTCTACTTCCGGTCTTTTTAAGCAAGAACACACCATTTTTTTTTTTTATTGAAAAGAGTGCAGAGCTGCAGCCATCCCTCTGGAAGTGTAGCTGAGTGTGGGGAGATACCCAGTGACTGCTGGTCGAAAGGAATGGTTCTCAAACCCTCCGGTTTGCTGAAGGAGCTTGCAGATTACTCTCCAAAGACCCCCAATGCCGACTCCCTTTGAAAAATCATGTAGAACTTAAAAGGGGTGCAATACAGGAGAAAAACAACCTTTGTCCAAATTTTAAATAAAGCAAGAGATTCTGGAAGCCAAGTGCTCTCTGGAGAGAAATCTTCAGTAGGTTGTTTCTGAACTATCAGAGAAGTACATGGGATAGGTCCAGCGAGAGTTCACTAGAGGACAAACAGTGCAAAACTAATGTTTCCTTTTGTGAAGAGTTCACACATGAAGGGTATGTTGTCGGCAGGTTTTGTCTTGATTTTATCAAAGCATTTGACCAAGAATTCTCTGAAGATGGTGATGTTGATTAGATCAGTGGTTTCCTTTACTTTGTTTAGTTGTTGTTTTTTTAATCCTAAAACCAGATTCTAAACCTCCATTCCATGTCTATCGGAAAGGAATTACTGAGAAAGGGGCCCAGGAATCCGTGTTACTAAAGCTCGCCTGGGGCCAGTGCAGCTGGTCCATACACTGGTATTTGTAAGCCAGGGACTGGTTTTCAGACTTTTGGGGGACAGGAAACCCTTTCATCAAGTGAAATCTTGGATGAAATCTACCATATAAAACAGATACAGTAACATTTTACTTGTATAAAATGTTTGAAGTTTACATTTATAATGCTTACTGAAGAATAAGAACAATGAGACAGTTACAAAGACATTAAAATCTTAAATCAGGTGTTGATAGTAACTCTAATAGCTATATTCATATTACCAACTCCTGTGTTTAATAAAATTGTATACTTTGCCATAAAGACATAATATTTTAAAGCCCAATGTAGGTAATTACTTGGAAATGGTAACAAGAGTTTTAGTTTTAGTTTTGTTTTTAAGGAAGTTGCCTTAGAATCCCAGGATATTTCTCCGTGCAGCCAGTCTAAGGGAGGGAATATTTGTTTCAAAACGGTAACCCTGTAACTAACTAACCTTATGGAAACAATTGCTCACATTCCTTATCATAAATCTAGACTCATACAGGAAATATCTAATTCTTAGAATAAATATTTACCCTCTCTCAAGTAGGATATTATCACAAAGGACTTTCTACTGTGATGAAAGCAAGGCCATCCAGATGCCCCCGAGCCTCGCCTGGCGCTCAGTGGGAGCCCTCTCAGGAGTGGCCTTGTGTCCGTGTGCTTGCTTGACCGACCTCATGAGAGCAGACCGTGCACACCAGTATTTTTCACAGGCTGAGGCGGGGCTACCGCTTCCCTTCGGTATCGCACGTTTAAGAAGCCCAAGAGGTGCAGAATGAGTCCACCGTGGGGACTGCCTAGATCTCCCAGACTGAGTCGTTGGCACCGGGTACACAGTGTCTGCAACAGGTGGGAAGTTTGCACATATGCCATTTCAGTGTCATTTATAAAATAATTACAGTTTATAAAAATACCTTAAAATACACTTAAACATTAGAAACAGATGGTGGTGGTATCCTTGGAGCACTTCCATACGAGTCTTTTTAAAAACAGTATAATATTGACGGGATGCCTGATTTGTGTTAGGAAAAATGTTTGGTTTCCTGGGGGATACAGATACATTTGGGGACAACTCGGTAGTGTAGATGAGGAAAAAACGATAACTCAGAAAGTGAGTTCATGTGCACAAAGAAAGGACAGACTACCTTTGAGTACAGATGGAGGAGTGACCTCTTCTGGACAGAAAATCAGGGAGGACTTCCTGGAAGAAGAGACTTACATGGAACGGTCCTGCAGACATAGAGGACTTGGATATGAGACTCTTAGGGAGAAGAAGTGATGTTCTAGGCCACTTTACCTTTTGAGAGTGTATAGTTTTAGGGAAAAAATAATGTAGCTAACACTATCCTCTTAAGCAGATTACCTTCTTCATTAATAAATGAGCTTTATATGCATTTTAAAAAGTACTTCATTAATAATCTCTAAAAGGGACCATTCTCAAATATTTAAACATACCTGAGGTTTTTTTCTTCCAGAGTTACTCCCAGCAGACAGCGATTTAACTTGCTCAGATTTAGGCCTTTCCAGCGATATTTTGCCTAACTTGGGTGCCCCTTTAATACCTACGTGCATCATAAATTTACCCTACGCCTGGGCTCTGTAAGAATGATAGCCACTCATCCCTCATGTGTCCACCCACGCGGGCATACTGAGCACCTGGTCGTGAGCCAGGTCCTGGAGAGTTCGAGGCACCCAGCAGGGAACAAGTCAGAACTGGACAGGTGAATCGAGTACCTGGAAACCCCCTACAGGTCTTATCATTAAACTGTATTTTAAAAAGATAACAGTGTAACTTTCCCTGCAAACTGATAACAGCATTCAGTGTGCACCTCCCAGAGCTCGTGCGTTTCAACAGGGATCAAAGCTTTTCCTAGAATTGCCTCTCTAATCAGGCCATGTGTGAGGGGAATTGTGGTTTGAGCCTTGGGAATTTTCCAGCTTATATGGCCTTTTAAGCAGCAGGGTTGGTACTGTCCTATCTGTACTTTGTGGTGGGGACTGGCTCTGATAATACTCTCCCCAGGAAAGTGGCTTAAAGAAAACTCTACTGTACGGGGAAAATCAATTAGATATCCTGTAACAGAAAAGAGCTCTTGTTGCAGTTTTGCTTTTCTGAGCCCAGAGAGGGGGTGCGGCATAGAGCAGATACAGGCTGCTGGGTGCTGTGGGTCAGTGGGCAAGTCACTTAACCTCTCTGCACATCGGTAAATAGAAATGATTTCATGTAATAATAGTACCCACCTTGAAGGATTACTGAGGGTCAAACAAGTTAATATGTCATATAGAGTATTTAGAATTGTGCCTGCCATAGAGTAAGTATTCGATTACAAGTAGCTATTAGTGTTTTTCCAGTTTGTCAGTTTTTCTGAGAATATGTAGTAGATAAAAAGTAAGAGTGGGTAAGAAGCTAGATTTTTTTTTAAAAAAAGGATGCCTAATTCCTCTCCCCCCCCCCCACTCTTCGCCCTCCTGCCCCACCGACCCCAGAGTTATTTATTTTGTAAGGCTAGAACACCATATTTGAATGTCTGACCTTGAACATTTCTGATTAAGTAGTTCTGGGCAACGCTTTAATAGTTGGAAAATAAATCAGGCCTCCCACACATACCTGCTCAGCCAAGAATTTGCCCCAGGATCTGTGGGTGGGCGGGAGTGGAGGCAAGCACACGCCCAGGCCCATGTGCACTCTCCGTTCTTGCAGGAAGGAGGCTGTGCTGGCCAGTGTCTCCCCGTTGTCTCTCTCCTTTCTCCTTCTAGAGAAACAAATATTTTCACTTTTAAAAAATGCTTATTCTCTCTCCTTTCCCTGACCCCAGGGGCACACTCCCCCTCTTCCCACTTGTTCCTTTGTTTTCTAAAGTTTGGCCCTTTATTTGTCCCTTGGCATTGCACTGGGCAGGCTTTTCCCAAGCCCAGGATGGCAGCACACGGCATGCGATGATGAGCCACAGGCTGCCTGCATGGATCACAAGTTTCAGAGTCTGTGGTAAGGCCTCTGGAAATGTCCTGGGGTTGCTGTGGCTCTTGTGGTGGGGACTCGAGGAGACCCCTGCCCCTGGGCCCCCGCCTTTGCACGGGGTGTGCTACAGGTGTGCGTCCTGAGGAGGTGCGTGAGGGTGGCTCAGTACACCCTGCAGAGAGGCCTAGTGTCCTGTACATGCCAGCCACGTCCGGACACGTGGTCTGTGTGGCCTTCGGTTCCTGGTTCCTGGCTTGTTTCATGTTTTTCTTCTCAGCCTATTGAACATTTAATCCCACTGCCCTGGTTAAGTCCTCTCCTGAGAGCAGGTGTGCTCTGAGTGTGAGAACAGGCGTGTGTCGGGTCCGACCTGTGGGAAGCGGCCTGGGGTGGGTGGAGAGAGGGCTTTGCAGCCCAGGGACACGTCCTCGGCCAGAGCTAAGCTGAAAGGTCACTTGACTCCCTTCAGTTTCCACCGGCCCCTCGGGGTGCTCTGCAGGCGAGCTCTCGTGGACACGCCTTTCCCTCTGCTTCCTTCTCCGATTAGGGAAGGACTGGGGACGCCAGGCTGGTGGGTGTTGGGTGCGTTCTTTGTAGGAAGTGGCTGGCTTTCGGGTGGGAGGCTGGTATTTGGGGGCCTTTGCTCTGGAGTTAGAATCTGGATGGGTCTTCCCCAAGAAGCCGATGGGAACTTTGGAGGCAGCAGAACTCACTCTCAAATACATGGAAGAACTGGCAAGATTAAAAGGAAAGAAGGTTTTGTTTTGAAAATTATACAAACAGCCTCTGATCTAGGGTAACCACCAGACATCCTGTTCTCAGCATGTTTGCTGCGTGTCCTGTGCAGCTCCCTGCGGCTGTGCTCAGGGCCTCGTGATGTGAAATACAGACCTCCCTTAACTCCCAGGCTCTACCCGTCTCATCATGGAGGAGAGCCACTGTGCCCCCCCCCCCCGGAATAGGGGAGGGGGGGGCAGTTTTATATGCAAAAGGCCCCACCACCCTCTGCCTGGAGGCTGTGGCTTCTTGGTCAGGCCTCCCCCACAGCCGCCTGGGTGGGCAGTGGCACCTGCAGGGCCCAGAAAGCACCTTGTCGCCACTAGGGCTGCAGTTCGGAGAGAAAGTGGGGCCGCAGGAAGCAGGCTGTGGGAGGTGTCTGTAGGGTGGGAATGTGTTCACAGTCATATGTGAGGGGCGGACGCTCAAACTTATTTGGGGAAATTACTTTTACTATTAAACAACATGTGCATATATGTGCATTTATATACATCAAACGAAATATTTTGGGACTATTTCAAAGCAGTTAACTGATAACAGATTGTTACATACGTAAAATGATACCTAAAACACATATAAGATGATAAACCCTAATGAAGGCCACAGTAATTCTTACCTTTTTACATAGAGTACATTCATTCAAACTAACTTCTTCCCAGGATTGGAATTCCTTCTACCGTACACACAGGCGATAATCCAGGCATCATCTCTTTCTTCACTTCCCTCTCCCCTCTGCCTGCACTTACAAGCACCCCCTGACTCTGCCCTCACACAGGCCTCGCAGTCAGAGCATGTGCAGCAGAGGAAGGCGGCCCAGGCAGAGGGGTGTGAAGTGACCCGGAAGAGGAGCAGGCTCTAACCTGCCCCGAAGGAGGGAGACAGGGGTCACAGAGGACCCTCCCAGGCCCAGTGCTCAGGAGCGGAGCGCCATGGGACCATCCTCGGGGAATGGCACGCAGCTAGTGTGGGTGCGAGGTCCAGAGGCTGGCGAGGGGCAGGGTAGGAGGAGGCAATCTCAGCAGGGATGGTGCTCACTGCTTGGTTAAAAAAACACTTCTGTGGCTAAGAAGTATATTTTGTTAGAAAGTATTTCCTTACATTATGGCAAATCCTTCTCCTTTTCTACTTGACCTCTGGGTTCAAGTCACAAGAGCAGCACAGAACTGCCTGTCTGCTCCCTGCCACGTGCTTTCACAGGTAGCTGGGCTGTCACTTCTTGACGCCTTGCCCCAGGCGGTGGATGCCTTTATCCTTCTCAATAGATTTAACTCTAACCCAGTGATGATTCCGTGGTCCTTGCAGAGTCTGCCAACAGGGGGCTGTGGTCTCCTAGATTGAGCTCATACATCTCCGCTTCAAAGCAGTTATTGCCACTGCACCCTCATCTCTTCTTTCTGCTGGGTCCTCCCTCTGGTTTTACAGGATCCCCAAGGGAAGCAGTCCGGGAATTAGTCCAGCCGCCTCCCCACCATACCATCTCCTTCCGGTCATCTTGGGGTCCTGGAGAAAGGAGAAGTAGGCCTTTCTCACACATGCCCTGGGATCCTTGTCCTAGAGAAATAGTGGTTTTTTTGTTTGTTTTTTGTTTTGTTTTGTTTTCAACAGTCTCACCACTTTGCTTCTTACACTTTGGAAGCAAACTAAGAAAGAAGTACATACCTGTTATAAAAATGAATTGGGATGAACTAAAATCTCTCAGAAGTTAAGGGTCGATAGGGGAATTTTATAACTCAAGTTCCATTTTCATGTGAATTATCTGTAGTTAGAAAATGTCGGTTATATATTCTGCAGGAGCGATTCGGTCCTATGTGTAATGTGAGAGCCCTCTGCCTGAGAGTGGAGGGATTGGGCCCTGGAGAGGAAATCCCAGGGGCTGCTTGTTACAGAAGCCGGCACCGCGAGTAACCCCTGATAAAATATCCGTACTTTCCCGGCCAAGCCAGGGTGGCCTGTGGATTAGCCTCTTTACAAAAAAAAAAAAAAAAAGGTTGCGATGGAAAATGTTCAGTAATTTTGGAATTACTCACCTCATGTAGAAGCCGGGAGCTTACCTGTTAGCAGTGGTCCTTTGCAGGGACTTCTGCCTACGTGGGAGTGGATCAGCGAAGGAAAGGGAGGATAAAAGGAGGAGAACATTATGCGGTTGTTCAAGTAGAAGTTTCCGACCTGATCAGCTAGCTAAGGACACCCAGAGAAGCCTCTCTGCTGATTGCTGGGGTTTAATTATGTGACGATGGAGGGCGAAGTCTTGTTTTCCGTAAAAAGAGTGTCTTGGATGCAGTTGTTTCGGTCTCTGTCAGTGGGCCTTGCACGGGAATCCAAGGGAGAGGGGAAGGAGAGAGAATAAGTGTTTACCACTCAGCCTGCGGTCCGTGGACAGCACGCCAGCGTCGCTGACGAGCCTCCTAGAAACGCAGTCTCAGGCCCAGACCAGAACCCCTAGACCAGAACCTGCATTTACACAGGACCCACGGGCAGTTCCTGTGCACATTGACGGTTCAAAAGCACTGCCCTAGCAGGTGACGACAGTGCCTGATTCACACGGTGATCTGCCTGCCTGGACGCAGTGAGAAACGCTGAACAAGAAAGGCATATCGGCCTTGAGTGCGGCATGTCAGGAACCAGCGTAGCTTTGTTTCCAGCCGGAGCCCAGGCCCTCCGATGGTGTTTGCTTCAGCAGCAGAGTTCTGTTCGCGGAGGACGGGTGTTTACCGCACAGAGGAGTGAGTTCCTCCGTGGCTTGATGTCTCAGGAGGAGCTGCCTCCCTGCCCCGGAGCTTTCCAGCGGTTGCCGTGATGGCAGTTACGGGCAGTGGTCTCCCCTAGTAAAACGTTTGTTTCCTTTCCACTTTTATCTGTGCTTACTTTGCTATACTTTTAAAAAATACGTGTTTTTATTGATGTTTTAGAAAGAGAGGAAGGGAGAGAGAGAAACATGGATCAGCTGCTATATACCCCCTGCTGGGGATCAAGCCCACAACCTGGGCGTGTGCCCTGACTTGGATGGAACTGGTGACCTCTTGCTTCATAGGTTGACGCTCAGCCACTGAACCACACCAGCCGGGCTATTTTATTTCTAAATTACAGTTGACGTTCAGTATTATTTCATTGGCATTTCAGGTGTACAGCATAGCGGTTAGACAATCACATACTTCCTCCCCCCGATATTTCCAGTACCCACCAGGCACCTCACAGAGTTACTACAATATTGTTGTCTGTATTCCCTATGCTGCACTTTACAGCCCTGGGCTGTTTTCATGGCTCGGTATTTGTACCCCTAAATCCCTTTACCTTTTTCTGTCCTCTCAACCCCCTCCTGTCTGATAAGCATCAACTTGTTCTCTGTATAAATTTATTTCTGTGTTTGTTTGTTTTGTTGTTTAGATTCCACATATAAATGAAATCATATAGCATTTGTCTTTCTCTGTCTGACTTCCTTCTCTTAGCATAATACCTCTAGGTCCATCCACCCCCCCCTCCCCCCATTAACCATAGAGCAGAGAATAAAAAGGGAACTTTAATTTCCTTTTTAGACTTCTATCAGGTCCCTTCTTCACTTGACATCGTGTTACCCTCATGGGTTTTTCAAGGAAAGGGTCTGTGCAGAAAAGTGTTGCTTGCTCCATGATGTGCCAGGAAGGAACCTTCTGGGCTCAGCCCGACGGGCACTGCTGACAGAGGCGAGGACTAGACCGGACTGGCCGGGGCCTGTTGGGATAGGAACACCTCTGGGTTTATCCTGTTGTACAGCAGTAGACCGTCAAGTGGGAAACCTTTTGTTAAATAAGCCGTTAGCTATCACAGTCACACGTATAGGATGATGTTTCTCCTTACCTAGGGGAGCCTTTTATTTTCAGAGTAAACAAAAAGTGCTGATATAATGTATCATAACAAATACTTAACCATTAGCACAAGTTCTCACGTGTTCAGTTCTTTGATAATGTGATGCAAAGATTTTTGGTTCTGTTTGACCTTTTCCGCTATCTGTGATGATCAGCTATTACTCTGTAGTAGATAAAAATCCACTAGGCTTTCTTCTTTAAAAGTAACACCTAAAAAACAACAACAACACCTTTTAGTGGTAAAAGGATTGAGACTACAAGGGCATTTCCTTCAAGTTCCATGAAGACTCCATTAGCTTTTTAGAGGCTCTGCTACATTCTGGTTGGAGCCACTGCAATCTCATGCCTGGATTGTTCAGTCGCCCAATACCTGGTCTTGCTGTTGCTCCCTTGCCTTCTGTTTAGTCTTGTCTCAACATAGCAGCCAGATCGTACTTGCCTCTGCCCAGATCATCTCAGTTGTGTTCGATGGCTCTCGGAATAAAAGCCGAAGGCCCATAGTGCCTAGAATCCCATGGCATGCCCCAGTTGGACAGGCCACACTTCTGCCTCAGGGCCTTGGCACTTCCTGATGTCAGCCTGGAACCATCTGAAGATGTCTACACGACTCGCCCCCAGACTTCCTTCAGGTCTGTGCTCACCTGCCAGGTAGGCCGGGAGGCTTTCCTTGACCGCCCTGTTTAAAATTTAATGCCCTCCTCCACACACACACCCCTGACATATCTTACATTTTACTTAATAAATGTTCATTGTCTGTCTTCTCTGAGGATGTTACCTCTTGAGAAGAAGAGGTTTTGTCTTGTTGGGTGTGCGCCCCCGCCCTTAGAACAATGCCTGGCTTAGTCATGGTACATACTGTTTGTTGAATGAATGAGTGTAGCTGGCCCTCTTCAACCCCTTGACTAGGTACGAATTTAGAGCCGAAAGCACTGTGGGGCTTCTTCCTATCAGTTTCATCCTCACCCTCATTGCACGAAAGGACTGAAATGTCAGGAAAACATCTTTAAAATATTAACCGCAGCTGTGAGCCATTTAAACCATTCTACATGGTAAGTTAGGGAATGCCAATTGTTGATTTGTAAGGCAAATGGGAGGACACAGTTGGTACACAGCAGGTCTCCTTTGTGCCAGGCTTGCAGAGTCGGGCCTGGGGACAGGAGGAGGTGCCTCCTTCAATGATCTTCACACTTGCCCGCTGTCAGCCCCTTGGTTGTGGCAGCATCCCACAGCAACTTGGTCCCCATGCCCCCTCCTCCAAGGACTACTGCTTTGGGCGCGCCTGACTGCATGTGTATTTGTTTGCCAGTGTTGTCTCACCAAGGACTTCCTTTGGCTGCAACTTATGTTTTCCTTTTTGTTTATAGTGTTTCTTAGTAACCCCCTGCCACAAGTCTCTCTGCAGAGTTGCTCTCCAAATGTATCTTGAACTTTGTGCTCTATTTCTCGTTTAGCATAGCAAGATTTACGTGGGCCATGGAAGTCTAGAAAACAAAGGTTACAGAAGTGAATGTGGCTGGTGCGCATCTAGTTTCTGGCACCCCAGACGTGGGAGTGTCCATTGCGGAGGATGGAGCCCACCCATGGGAGCCATGTGGTCTGCCTGGCGGAATTATCCCCATCGTGGCGATAGATGCAACAGATTCTAATAGCCCAGAGCCATCACTCATTCAATACACTGTCTCTTGAATCTCCACTCTTCTGCAGCATGCTAACAGAATAGCAGTGTCCACCCTCATGGAACCTCTGATGGTCTAGTGCAGTGGTCAGCAAACTGCGGCTCGCGAGCCACATGCGACTCTTTGGCCTCCTTGAGTGTGGCTCTTCCTAAGCCTTAGGAATACCCTAATTAAGTTAATAACAATGTACCTACCTATATAGTTTAAGTTTAAAAAATTTGGCTCTCAAAAGAAATTTCAGTCGTCGTATTGTTGATATTTGGCTCTGTTGACTAATGAGTTTGCCAACCACTGGTCTAGTGAGAGAGAAAAATGTAAATTAAATAACCATAGAAATGTGGGATTATAAACTGGGGCAGGTGCTATGAAGGAGAAGGTGAAGGTGCTGTAGGAGCTTTGTCCTAGTCTTGAGGTCATGTGGCCTTTGAGCTGGGACCTGCAAGGTTACTAGGCATATGTGTGCTTTGGAGGGAAGGGGCAGAGTGTGTGCGTTCACTTCCGGGCAGAGGAAACGGAGGTGTGCACCATCTCTGGGGCATTGAGGGATCATGTGCATTCTGGGGAGTAGAAGGAGACCAGAGTGGCTGAAGTGTGAGATGACGGGGAGAGTGGTGCATGGAGGGGCCGGGCCGGGCCGGAGAGGTGAGCAGGGCCAGAGCGAGGCCTGACGTCCACTGTGGGTGTTTATCACAAGACCAACACAGAGCATTACAGGGGTTTCATAGGGCAGAGGCGTGGTCTGTTTTCTATTTTTAAATGATTGATCTGGACGCGTTGTGGGAGGTAGGGAGAGCGGAAGCTGGGAAACCACTAGAGATGTTTTGTGTTCGTCCAGAAGGATGGTGGCAGCTGGTCTGGAGAGAGTGTCGGAGGACGTTGGCATCCAGCTTGTGATCGCTCTGGTGGGCTCACTGAACAACCTTCTCTAATTTGGCTTGATCTTGGACCTGCCAGTGAGGTGCCTACACCTGGGATTTTAGTATTTGTTGACTAGAGAAATGTGAATACATCAGTCAAGCTGGGTGGAGCTAATGTCCAGGCTGTCTGACAATTACGTTTCCTTGTAAATGAGTACATAGGCATTGTGGCTTTCTGTGTGGGTCGGTCTGTTGTGAGCCCTGTTGGCATGAGGCAGTATTGATAAACATGATCATTTCTGGAAACAGTGACTTTTGGATCTGATCACTTTTGGAACAAGCAGAGTTGAGGCACAGAATGTAGGCATCATGAATTCTCCGATGTCACCTGGTGGAGACTTTCTGAAAAACTGTCTTTCCTAGGCAACATTTTCCCTTTAATGATGCTTTTCCATGATCATTTACAAAAAGTTTAAGTGACTTTATAATAGCTACATCCACCAAATGTTTCAGTCTTTAGAACAGCAATTACTTCACCCAGTGGGGAAAGGTGCTGCCCACCTAAAGAAGATCTTCAGGGGGCGTGTAGTTTGAAAAGGCAAATTAAATGCAGAAGGATTCAGAGTCAAGGAGAACCTTATTATAAACTAGAGGCCTGATGGATGAAATTCATGCAAGAGTAGGCCTTCCTTCCCCTGGCTGCCGGCACCGGCTTCCCTCTGGCACACCCAGGACCTGGGCTTCCTTCCAGCCGCCGGCTTCGCCTGGAAGGTCATTCGGTCTAATTAGCATGTTACACTTCTATTATTATAGACTAGAGGCCCGGTGCATAAAATTCATGCACTGGGGCAAGGGGGTGGGGGGTGAGTCCTTCAGCCCGTCCTGTGCCATCTTGCAGTCTGGGATTCCTTAGGGAATGTCCTCCTGCCCGCTTAGACCCGCTCCCTGCAGGAAATGGGTCTAAGCTGGCAGTCAGACATCCCTCTCACAGTCCAGGAATCCGTGCTCCTTACCGCCCGCCTGCTTGCTGCTCCTTAGCGCCCCCACCACTGCAGCTCCCACCACCGCAGCTCCCACCACCGCTGCTGCACTCGCCAGCTGTGAGCCTGGCTTCTAGCTCAGCAGTGCTCCCCTTGTGGGAGTGCAGTGACCACCAGGCGGCAGCTCCTGCATTTAGCATCTGCCCCCTAGTGGTCAGTGCGCATCACAGTGGCCGGTTGTTCTGGTCGTTCTGCTGTAATGGTTGCTTAGGCTTTTATTATATAGCTTGGTTCTCTGTGCATCTAACTTTTTATTATGTGTGTTGATTTCTTTAGAGACTATGAGGTATTTGTCAAATATCCTGTTATCTCTGCATATAATGATACTGTCTTAATGTTTGTTTAGGAACCGAGTCAAGGTAGGCAGCTGGACTAATTGGCTGAAGTTTAATGAAGCCCTTTTGGTACTCTCAAGTTCAGAAGATATCAAACAGTGATATGAAATGCATAATGCATTTGTGAATACTCACCAACAGTGTTTTCCTCATCTTTTGCAGGAGAAAAATGGAAGAAACATACTTTTAATGGAATGGAATAAACCGAACAGGTAACGGAAGTTAGCAGGGTATGTATATGCACTAGACAAATTTTTGTGAGTTACTATTTGTGAAGTCCTCAGAGAGTACCTGGCACAGAGTAAATACTGTATAAATGTTTGCTGTTACTAAGTTCTTAAATGTACCTGAGCCCCAAAGAAACCAGTCATATAACCAAAAACTATCCAACAAAAACGAACCCTTTGCACCTAAAGAAGTTGTGAGCATCGTTGGTACGTTCTGGCCTGCTCTCTGTGTGACCCGTTACAGGGCCTGAGAAACGGGATTTCTTAATCCTGGAGCACTGTGAGCACATGAACTCCCACTTGTCTTGCTTCTGAGCACTCATTCAGAATGACCTTGTAAGTGTTGGATCCATTGCAATTTTGAAACAAAACACGTTTCTTTAACATTCTTGAAGTGATAGTTCTTTATCATCGGGGGCAATGGCTCAGTTTGCAGACAGTTGCTGCAGTGGCTTCTGGAGAGCAAGAGAGGACGACAGTCAGGACAACCTCACCGTCTCTGGTGGTAGCAGTGATAACTTGGAATAGGAAGGTTCAAACTCTCGACCCTGCCTGGCATGACTTCATGTCATAAAACTGTTGGTGGTGCTGAGACCTACTAGCACGTTCACTGGACAGTTACAAGGGCCGTATCATGTGCCAGGTTCTGGGCTTGGTGTTGAGATTGTAGAGTTGAACCTGTCACCTCTCTCCTCACTGTCCCCATCTGTCTGCATCTGCACCAGCAGCAGTCCCTGCCTTTTTTACCTCACTTTGGGGAGACGTGGGTCTGCAGGCCGGAGTGATGCTTGCCGTCCCACCTTCCCTCTCTTTGACTCTTCCGTCTCCCGGGCTCTTTCTCATCACGTGAGCACGCTGTGCTCCGGTTGGGAGAATACGCCGGGTGGGGGATGGGGCCCAGGGTCCGATTTCATAGAGTTGGGCATTTCCCTACTTGGCATTCAGATTGTATCTCCCTTCCTCCAACTCCTGTTTCACAGTATACCGAGTTCATTTTAAACACTCTGTCGTCTTCTGTTTTGCCATGTTTTTCTTCTGGGATTTTGGAAGTCACCTTTCTTTCTGGTGGCATTACAGATGACATTATTAACTTGAGAGAGGTGGGCACTGGTGGTGCCCGCAAGATGTCAGTGGCCTTCAAACCTGTTTGTTGGCACCCACGGGAAGAATCGTGTTGCATCGGGACCCAGTACACATGTTGGTATATGTGGATGTATGGTTTCCCCTAATAATACCTCTACTATATGCGAGTTGGGATAGAATTTTCTAGTCTATAGTGTTCTATCACTTTTTCTTTTTTGTCTTGTATCTCTCTTCTTTTTAAAAATATTTTATTTTTATTTTTCAATCACAGTTGATATACAACATTATATTAGTTTCAGGTGTACAGCATAGTGATTAGATATTTATATAACTTATGAAGTGATCACCCTGAAAAGTCTAGTACCTATCTGACACCATCCATAGTTGTTATAATATTATGGACTGTATTCCTTATGCTGTACTTCATACCACCATGACTATCCTCTCTTCTTTTTAATGCAACTCAAAATAGGTTTCAGAACCTACTAGACAGTTGTACTTTGACAATCTTGCAATATTTTCATGCTATGGTATGGAGAGGAATATGCCTTCCTCTCCATATTCAGTAGTAATGTGTGCGAGTCTCTTTTATACCTAAAATCCCCTCAGACTTGCCTTAACTTAATTCTTATGCTCAGGCTTTCCCCTTTTCTAACTAAGCTGCTGTTTCTATTTTATCACATATCAGTCACTCCTCAACACTTTTTCTGTTTGACATTTGACATTTCTCTCCTGACTATTGGCCAGGAATCATTTTATTTACCATTTTGAATGAAATAGATTTCTCTGTACTATTATATCTTGCATATTAAATAATATTTTTAAAAAGTAGCACACTTATTTTTCACTAATTCCTTTACTTGTTTGGATTCTGCATATTCAGTTTCTCAGAAACATAACTAATCTTATAGTCCAATCTCCCAACTCATGCCCTTACTGGTCCAGGGGTCACCGAGTCTCAGTAACGGGAGGGTATCTTCCATACCGTGTGTTTTGGTTGGTGTCATGAGCTTCAGAGAGACATCTGCTGGCCCAAATGTAGTGTTGCATTATTTTTCTATCTTGAAGTCAATCATATTGTCCATTTTAAGACCTTAAACTTTCATAGGGTGCAGGCAAGGTTGTATATTGGAATACACTGAAGTCACTCACCTCATCTCCTCAAGCTTTTTTAGGATTTCCAGCTCAACGTTCAGTGGACTGAAATGTAGTCATACTGTATCACCCTGTAAGCAGCTGATGTCTAATGGGGGAAAGGGTTTCATAGTGAAACTGGATTTCTTATTTTTGTGTGTTCTTTCTTTGGTTAATCCTCACCCAAGGATATTTTTTCCATTGATTTTTAGAGGGAGGTGGGAGTGGGGGAGAGAGAGGCATCAGTTGGTTGCCTGACAAAGACCAGGTAGGGATGGAACCTTTAACCCAGGTGGGTGTGCAGGATGACACTGTAACCATTGAGCCATGCCAGTCAGGGCCCTTGGTGTGTTCTTAATGGGGCTACAAAATGATCATTTAGTAAGGCATCCAACAAACCAGGATCCACTGAATACTTCTGAAATTGATAATAATTCATTCTTCCAAGCTACTAGTAAGTTAAGAACTTACGTTTTAAATGGCATAGGCTTGCAGCCTGGTTTGTTAAATTTGGTTCTAGTTACAAGTCTAGTGCTAAAGAAAATAAGAATCTAAACTTTATTGCTTATTTATTTTGAAGCCCTAATTAACATATCATAGTGACTTTTATACAATGTTTATTTAGCAAAATCTTCATTGATTTCAGAGGCAAGTTTGTTTATCAAGGAAACATAATTAATATACATTTAAGATTACTCAGTGCAAACAACAAAACTTAAGTTATAATGTGCAAAATGGTTCTATTTATTTATTTAGGTTAATCCTCATCCAAGGATATTTTCCCATTGATTTTTAGAGGGGGGAAGAGGGGAGAGAGAGAAGCATGGATGTGAGAGAGACACATTGACTGGTTGTCTCCCGCACATGTCCCTACCAGGGCCGGGGACCAAGCCTGCAATTGAGGTACGTGCCCTTGACCAGAATAGAACCCGAACCTTTCAGTCCATGGCTGACGCTCTATCCACTGAACCAAACTGGCGAGGGCTAAATGTTGCTTTTAAACAAAACTAAACTAATACCCACCTGTCCTTGAAGAGTACAGTAAATGAGACAACATATCACAGCTTTCTGCCCTGTTTACTCCTAGGCCACGGTGCATGCCTGAAAGCCAGTAGAAAAACATTAGAATGTGTGTGACAGCCCCTCTAAGCACGGCTTTGGGAGTATACGGGAGAGGGAGCTAAATCCCAGCCCCTGCCGTGGCCCACTCCTTCCGCATTTGTCTCTTCCTCCCTTCACTGCAAAAGATGAACGAAGTGTCATAGGACAAGACTGTACCGAATCAGAGGAGGGCAGAGCCGAAAAGGGTATTGTTAATGGTGCAAGGGGACAGATGTGGGTAGAAACCTAAACAGTATTTGGCAACATAAAACACTGTTTTTGAGTTTAATAACCCCAAATAAGAAGAACAACTTGTTCAGAGTATTTCATACATGTCCAGTTTTTCTGGCCATTTTCCGAGAGGGGAAACTGAAGTGAAAATAGAAACTGTTATTCCTTTCATCAAGGCACTTGGATTGATAATGAAAGGTGTGAGAAGTCACAGCAGGTAGCCAGGCACTTCTTTTAAAAGTGTGAGTAAAAGGGTATGACAGTAAATAAGGTTTGAAACAGTGGGTTGTGGGTTGCTAGTTCTGAGCTTCAGTGCGGAACAGTCCTGAAGCCTCAGTGTTTATGTTGTCCTGAAATACGGTAAACAAAGTGCTCGGCTCATTGAAGCACTCAGTCCATGGCAGCTGCTGCTGTCGGCGTGAACAGAAAACACTCCAGGTCACTCGCAGTGCATCGTTTTAGTTGTGTTTCTTACAGTTAGGGGTGGATTTGTTTGGATCTGTCTCCATTTTTGTAATAATTTGGGTGTCAGAAAAAACAATGACGTGAACAGCATTTATTGTGTCCTGAGTGCTGAGCGTTGGGTGCAGAGCGCGAGGAAAGATAGGAGAAAGCTGAGCTCAGTTCGTGTGCAAAGAACACGGTGTCTAACTCCCGGTGGGAATCAGTGATTGCCGTGTCTCGCAGAACCACGCGCTAGTTGGTTCTGAATTATGTTGTCACAATGTTTAAAGCTTAAATAAAAATCTTTTGGTTTTAACTTGTTGATTACCCATGATTGCCACACAAGGAAAATACTGCTTATTCAAAGAGCAGGTTGTGATAGAATATAAAAATAACTAAGATTTCCCTAGGTTTGGATCATTACTTTAATAATCTTGATGTTTAAGATTTTTAAGTAAATATTTTCAGTTTACAGTCTATTGGTCAGTCCTCAGGGACAGAATAGTGTAATTTTTTTAAAAAAACAACAACACATTGAAAGTAGCATTCCCTTTTAAAATCTGTGTACCCCAACATGACTGTCTGAATATATTTCCTGAATATGCAGCATTTCCAGTTGTACACAATATATCTTGCGATTGCAGTAGGCAACAGACCGTTTAGGCAGATAGATCCCAAAGGGTCTCAGTGTTCTGGGTATGTCTACATCAGTAATGGGAAGAAAATGAATCTGGCACTTCCGACTGAAGGGGCAAAGAACTGTATTTGTGCCACCGGTTTTCAGTTTGCCCCTCGGTGGGAAGGAACAGCAGCATGGGCGACTGAAGGGCTCCTTCATGGTGACTGACCTCTTGTGGATTCTTGGCTTTGGGTTGTGTTCAGGACTGCACAGCTGCCTGCAGTGAATGGATTGGGAAGTGGCCTGATACATATTTGTGAAAGGGGAATATTTCTGTAACTTAAACTCTGTTGCCAATATTGCCAAAAGTTAGAATTAATGCCTAGGGAGTTTACTACGTTTGCCCATTCTTAAAAAAAATGAATGTCCAGGGCTAAGCAGACAGTTAATGCTTGAATCTGTCTTGACAAGCTCTCCCGTCTCCCCCACTCTCCACCCCCCCTTTATGGTGAAATTAAGTGTGGGGTTCAGATCAAAGATATTTGAAGGGGAAAATAAGTCACAGAATAATTTAAATTTCAGCATTTGAATTTGGAATTGAAAGGAAGGTTGGCGGAGATTTACCTTAACCTTTTCAATTTACAGATAAGGAGACTGGGTTTCTGAAAGCGGATGGAACTTGCAGAAGGTCAGAGCCTTCAAGAGGCACAACCGATAGCAACAGGTAAAGAGTAACTTATTCAACTGGAAGTTTTCATGACTTTCTCAGCGCCATTGAAGTATAATTGACAGATAACATTGCAAAATATTTAAAGTGTACAGCATGACAATTTGATGTACATATGCATTATGAAAGGGTTCCCTTCACTTTTCATTATTTGCAGAAATGAATATTAAGCTTCAGGCTTTTAGTCTTTTTTATTATTATTTTGTTTATTTTTAACACACTACTTGGAAAGTGTGTGTCGTAGCAAAATGTAGTGGAAGTTGGGCCTACTCATACCCGGGCATTGTTTTTTCCACCCACTATCTGGGGGGCAGCCTGCCAGGTGCACTAGCACAATGTAGTGGAAGTCGGGCCTACTCACACCCGGGCATTGTTTTTTCCACCCCACTATCTGGGGGGCAGCCTGCCAGGTGCACAGACAGGAAAACAACCTGCCTCGATGACAATGAAGGTTTTATGGGATATTTTTTAAACCTGAACCACTTCCTTTTCTAACAGTAGTTGCTCCCTGAGAAGTTCCATGTCTTTCTCAGCTGTGGGTACCCCCTGTTCAACCCAGCGAAGAGCACCCCTAGTTCCTGTATTTGAGAGGCCTCTGACAGATTGCCTCCATAAATAAAATTCTCCTGTTGAGAAGGTTATTATATGCATGTTCGTTTTTTTGTTGGTAGAGAAGCAGTTTTAGCGTTGGCCATTAACTTACAATGTTAGTGCCCTGGGCCTGCTGAGGCTACAGTTTCACATTTGACTCCCCCACCCCTGCCCCATAAGTCACATAGCGCCCAATTTTAAAAAATCTCCTTCCCACAACCAGCTACAACTCTCATATGAACGTCTGTCTTGAAAATGAATGCTCTTGGTTGCAAATGTAGTTAATGAAACAGGGCAAATGGGGCAGGAAAACGAGCATCATCACCAAAAAAGTCCCAGCATGTACCAGTAATACCACTAGCAGAGAGTGTCATATTTGTAAAGTGCAGACATTACTGTTCTTTCATCCAAAAGCCGTATGTTTCTTAGAAGCTGACCAACTAGGTTGGGGCATATGTGAATCACCTTTTTTTTTTTTAACTGCCAAAAGTGTACCCCCTGACCTATGGGAAAAGTATTGGTGCAGACAAAATGAATACCTGGTAGAAATAGAAATAAGTAGTTTCATCTGACCTGGAAAAGAAGTAGCCTAAATATACCTAGCAAAAAAAAACAACAACCCAAACCTAAAAGTTATGATAGTGATAAATGGTAGAATTGTTTTCTGGCTTCTGGTGTGACATTGACACTGGCATGTACACAGTGATTATTCAGTTAGAAATGTTTTTTTTTTTTAATACATTTTATTGATTTTTTACAGAGAGGAAGGGAGAGAGATAGAGAGTTAGAAACATCGATGAGAGAGAGACATCGATCAGCTGCCTCCTGCACACCTC